CACTTGAGCCACAGTGCCACTTCCAGCTTTTTTCTTTTTGCTTATGTGGTGCTGAGGAATCGAACCCAGGGCCTCAGGCATGCAAGGCAAGTGCTCTACCACTGAGCCACCTTCCCAGCCCCAGGATGTCTCATTTTAAAAGGCACCAAGCTTTGTGCAGTCTTACCCAAGCCCACATGGACTTTCCAATCTGGCCTGGCCATCCTGTCACTGAGCGAAGAATATCTACTTACTACTGCTGCTTTTTGCCATTAAACTCAATGGGTTGGGGTGTGTGAGTGTGAAATGAGTTGAGTGTGTGTATGTATTTATCAATCTATTTATATCTAAGTAAAAGATTTGGGGTCAGTGTTATCTGAGGGTTTAGTCCACAGCCCAACAACCATATGTAGACTTCTTTTCTGTGTGTGTGTGTAACTTGAGGCACATTGCCAATTCCCCATCCACCATATTTAAATGATGACAGCTTTATACCAGCACAACTATGTTTATTGCAGCATTATTTACCATAGCTAAGATATGGAACCAACCCAGATGCCCTTCAGTAGGTGAATGGATCAAGAAAATGTGGTATATATACACAATGGAATTCTATGCCTCCATCAGAAAGAATGACATTGCCCCATTTGTTAGGAAATGGCAAAACTTGGAAAAAAGTATATTAAGTGAAGTAAGCCAGGCACAAAGAAACACAGGTCCCATGGTTTCCCTTATTTGCAATATCTAGTATATGTATGAGTCAAGCGGAAAAAGTCAGATAATGTGATGTTAGGAAAATGAACCCTTAGATATGTATTTTAATGTTTTTTTTTCTTTCATGCATGTGTTTCTAACGCATTTATAAGATTATTTCTTTGTTGCTTTGTATGTCCCTCCCCCACAGTATAACCCCCGCTTTCAATATATTTGATGTCAGTATAACTTGTGGAGGAGATGGGGAAAAACAAGTGGTTTAAGGATTCAGGTGGACCTGTTGCAACAATGAGAAGTACAAATTGTCATGTCAAAAACAAGCTTTACAATGTCGGTTGGGCGGGGGGGGGGGGGGGGGGGGGGGGGGGGGGGGGGGGGGGAGGCTGGGAAGGGAGGTGAAGGGTAAACAAAGGAGGAGGCTGCAATGCTTGGTAAGAAATGTATGCATTATCCTGCCCATGTAATTGTAACCCCTTTGTACAATATGTTCACAAATAAAATAAAATTAAAAAAGATGACAGCTTTAGAATATAGAATTGGTGATGGAGGAAAATAAAGACAATGAGGGACAGGCTTGAAGAGAAAGAAGATTAACTTGGACATCAATGAGTCATTTTCTATCAATCTGTTATCTTTCCTTCCACCTGCTAGAGCTCTACCACTTGAGCCAAAGTATTATCTCTGTTTTTTCAGTGGTTAATTGGAGTCTGGTGGGGTCTTTTCTGCCAGGGATGGCTTAGAACCACAATCCTCAGATCTCAGCCTTCTGAGTAACTATGATTACAGATGTGAGCCACTGGTGCCCTACCCAAATGAACTTTTAAGTAATAAATTTTCTATAGTCCTTTGCAGAACTATGATAAATGATTTAAGAAAGAGTTTACTCTGACAACATTCCTATTGTACCTAATGTAGGAAAAAGCCCTATTGGGAGTGGTGAGGGAAGAAGGGGACCCCCACTAGTTGGCTGGATCAGCACAATCAACCCTTGGAAACCATTGGGGTAACAGATACTGCAAGATTACCCTCACATCAAATAGGACAATCCGTGTAATGTTTTCCAATGTTACCAGAATCACTTATTTTCACAATATTCATCTATGTGAAAACGTTTTTAAAGCTTCACTTAAACATCTTTCCAGAGCCTATAACATATTTTTTTTTCTCTACAAATGCTCACATGTCCGACTGAGTTACATCTCTACCCATTCTGTACATCCTTAATGTCTGAAAATCCAATGGCCTCCACTAAATATGATATTCAGGGAAGAGATGCACAAAAACAATGTTTTGGTGTTATTAAAATAAATTACTCAGCCACTTCCAGGTGACTAAACTACTTGTTTCCCTGAGGTAGGTAAATGGTCACTTTGCTTCAACCATGAGTATTTTATTTTCGGTTTACTAAGGATGCTGAGGAGGGAAGATTAGACGTAAGAAGCTGAGGGCTGGGAAGGAATGGAGAGAGCAGATGAGGTTTTCTATTAGTAAAGAGCACTGGGAAAAGATAGGTTAGTTGGGGAGTGAGTGGGAATGTGCTAAAATGGGTAAAAGGTAAACACTGAAGCTCACTGGAACTATCACCTAAATATTCTGTATTTCTAGTATCAGAGTAACATCAAGATTAACACTTTTCTTGCTTCTTTTTCAAGTTTGAGACTTAGTCTCCTATGTTGTTCAGGTTGGCCCCAAATTCTTGGACTGAAGTGATTATCCTGCTCCAGTTTCCTAAGTAAATAGTTGAGAATTTTAGGTGTGAACAACACAGTAGTACCGTTTTTTTTTTTTTTGCCAGTGCTGGGGCTTAAGCTTCTTTTGCTCAAGGCTAGCATTTTACCAATTGAGCCACACACAGCACCACTTCCAGCTTTTTCTGTGTATGTGGTAATGAGGACTCGAACCCAGGGTCTCATAAATGCGAGGCTAGAACTCCACCACTAAGCCCACAGTCCCAGCCCAGTAGTATCTTGTATTACTTTAGTGGTGGTACTGGTGTTGAACTCAGGGCCTGACACTCTAATTATTTCAGCCATGCCTACAGCCCAGTTCACCATGCCGCGCCCCTCCCCGCTGCTGCCCCCGGGTTATTCTGGAAATGGATTCTTATACTTAACTGCCCTGCTGGCTTTGAACCATGATCTCAGCCTCCTGAATCAATAAGATCACATGCTTGAGCCACCAGTGCCTGGCACAGCAGTCACCTTTTGAACAACCTTCTTATACATCAAAAAAGTTTTGTCCCACTAAAATAGTCCTGCTTAGAGAGTACATTTTTTTTTGTACTAGAACAAGGATAACAAATGTATTGCACCCAAAATCCTGAATGTTCTCAAAGGCACAGAAATTTATAGTACAGTTCCTAAATTTTGCCAACCACCTCTTTATTAACTTTCTAAAGGCTTTCACAGCTGTATAATCCTCAATTCAGTCTTTCAAATTCTTTAAGATACTAAGTAAATGTATTAATGTACAGTTACCAATTTTCTTTGACGCTGTATCACTTTGTAATATTTTCTACTTTAACTAGTTACAATCAGTTTCCCAGTCCAGGTAAAACAACTTTAGTACTATACTTCCTGTAAATGAGATAAACAAAATAGAAACTATCAGACATACTAGCACAATCCAGTTCTACAGTAACAGTGCTCTGCTAAGGAAAGTTGATGCAATTTGTTGCTAGGTTTAATATTTTGGCATTAAAACTGCTGTGGCAACAAGAGGAAGAGGACTGACAAACTAGCAAACTTGAGGTGTTTTTAGTTAATTTGTGGGGACTTGGGCTCAGAACAAACAGAGAGCTTCAGAGACCAAAACAGATTCTGTAGCAAAACTAATATACTGATTTATATGTGGGTCTTTAAGGGACTGGAAAACTACTGTCAAGATTGTGAAATATATTTGGTGTCCTTTGTAAAGAAAATCTGCAACGTTAGTATGGGCAGACATAGTTCTTACTCCAATATCCTTGTTTGCTTTTCATGTGATTTTAAACTTTCATTCCAGTTTTGGAAAATAAGGGCATGGTAGAAGGGAAAGCAAGGGAGGGGGGGGGGTAATTTTGGAGTTAGAAGAGAAATTACAGGTCAAGTGGTCCCACCAGTTTTTTGCAGAGGAAACTGAGCCAAAGGACAATTAAACTCCAAAGATAAAACCTCGAAGTGGGTGGAGTCAATGTAAATTTAGTAAATCATTAAATCCTTACCAGCAACCTTTGTCTCTTTCCCCTCCACCCCCACCCCAAGCTGGGAACTCTCTTCAAGCTTAAGTTTTTTTGGGTAGAGAAAGGATTTCTAAAAATTACCCCCATAAACCAGCTGGTATTAGAAAGCACTAGAAAAGGTTGAGGCAGACAAAAGGCCTTGCCTAACCTCTTATGTTTATAATCCGCCTAACCTCTTATGTTTATTATCCACCGCAAGCAAGACTTTCCTCGTTTTAAATGAAAAAAGAAGTGATCTTGTCTGTTGTAGGTTATTTTCAAGCATCTTTATAGACGTATATACCGCACAATTTGTTGGGGGACAATATGAAAAAGGCCCCAAGAAAGCAATCTTGACTATAAAAACTAAATCTACCAACTTCCAAAAGTTAAACTACCAGACAGCTCTGTGACGACTAATTGGTAACTTTTTCTGACGCTCCAATCTGGTGCTAGCCAGGACCGGTACACACCCCCAGGGCTATTTCATTCCATTGGCTGGCAGGTTGTCCTGAAGTCTAGATTTAATGTCAGGCTGTCCGGTGTTTATTTGTTAGAGATGTTTCACTGTTCATTAAAAAAATTTTTTTGATTAGTAGATTCCTTTGGTTGATACAACTGTCTAAATTTCAAACCTAGACCTCAAACCTAGAAGATGAGTCCTTTTCTGTGTTCTTATATCATCTGTTACTGTTGGGGAGAGGGGAAAGCAATAAAAAATTTCAGTTTGCATTCGAGGTGAGTCATTAAGAACCACCACAATAACCACCCAGGCAGCACCAGATGGGCTGGTCACTGACTTTTGTGGGAAGGCAATTTCGACAAGGCCCACCCTGGGTAAGGGACAAGGTGGCCCCAAAAAGACTGGCACCGCTCTTCTGAATCCAGCACCAGCAGATGCAGAGGCCCCGGGTGAGCGCTCCCGCGGTAAAGGAGGCGGGCCGACTACGTGGTGATTTTAGGGAGGGGAAGGAAAAAAAAAAGATCGTTATCCTCCCAGCCTACCACACCCATGCTGGGCTGGGCTGGACTGATGTAAACAGCGGCCCGAGAAAGCTAGAGGCCGGTAGCCGAAGGGCCAGGGCGGGACCGAGCCGGGGACGCTCACCTCCCTTGCACGGAGTGCGGTGCTGGCTGTGCTGGGCCCGGTAGCCCTCGATGACCTCCCAGGAGCCGTCGTCGCGCCGGATGGGGAAGGAGACGCTCAGCACATGGTTGCAGGGCTTGATGATCCGCAGGATGCCGCGCACCCGGTTCCGCTTCTGCTCCTCGCTGTCCCGGGTGCGCAGGTCCTCCACCAGCTTGTCTTCCACGATGCTGGCGCCGCGGTCGAAGAAGCCCTCCACCATCTTGAAGAAGTTGGGGGTCGTCCTCCCGGTCGGCAGCCGCCTCGCTGTAGTGGCGCCGGGCGGGCGGCGCGAGCCCGGCCGGCGGGGCGGCGGTGGGCGGCCCGCGGGCCCAGCCCAGCAGCGCGGCCGGGGTCGGCGGCGGCCGAGCCCAGCGCGGCGGGCCCGGCGCGGGACAGCAGCAGCGCTTCGCCCAGGCGGCGGTACATGGCGGCGGCGGACGGGAGGCCAGGAGGCGTGCGGGCCGCTAGGAGAGGGGCGCTCGGAGACCGGAGACCCAGGGAGGAAGGGCTGGGCGCGGGCTGCCCTTTTAAGCCGCAGCTTCCTGCCTGCACAGCTGTCCCCTCCCCTTGGCGGCTCGTCGCCTAACGGGGGAGGACGGGCCTCGGGGGCCACGCGCCGCCCAGGGCGCCGGGCCTCCGCCTCCGCCGCGGCCTCGCCCGGCCTCCCAGGCGGCGGCGCGTGCCGGCGGGGAGACGGGAGCGCGCAGGCGCGGGCGCGCTTGGCGCGCATGCTCGCTGGCGGGCGGGCGTAGAGGAGAGGCGGGGCGGGCTGGCGTGCTGGGATCTCGGGGGGGAGGACGCCCCCCGCCTCCTGCGGAAGCTCTCAGGTGTGTGCGGAGCGGAGGAGGAGCTGGTGGGGAAGGGGTGCGGGACGCTGGGATGGGGTGGGGCGGGAGCTGAGCCGGAATGAGGCCCTGGCTCTGGCCGCGGGCCCGGGGTGCGTTGAGTCACGGAACTCCCCACCCCCGCTGCATTTCCGCCCCAGGGCTCAGGTCTCCTGCGGATCCCCGGGTGCGGGCCGGGCCTCCGGACTGTGGGCTTCCTTCCTCGGTCCGCTGGCGCGGGAGGTCAGACTCCTTGCGGGTGGGACAGTGGCGGAACCGGAGAGGAAAGGAACTGGGGCTGGGGAATCCCTCGCAGACTGGCCTTTTTGTCCCATTCAGTCTAGCCATGTGCATCTCTTCCTACGTTTTACTGGCTGTGATAGGCACTTTCAGAATTGTAAACAAGGAAAGTAGAAATGACTTAGAAATACGACTATGCGCTCTCCCTGGAAATTCTGGAGGATAGGTGTATCCATTCAACGATCCAGGATCTGAGTTGTAGACTCAGATTGTAAAGCAATTTGAGGGGAATTGCTAAACCTAACAGTCCTTGAGTAAGTTTAGAGGTGCTTACAAAAGTCATTAAGGCAAGTTACCAAATACCACATTCCTATCATTAGTGGTCACAGAGTACTTTGGTGGTTTTATAATGGCACCTTTTTGTACTTCCGGAAATAATTCATCTTTTAAATGACATTACCCATCTATTAGAATACGAAAGAGAAGCCCTTAATTCTCATAGCAGTATTCTGCAAAGCATAAAGTGACAACTTAGCTCTATTAAACTACATTCACCTCTCTCAATGTACTCTGAAAAAAAAATTATTTTTCCTTAACAACAAAGTTTGTATCTCACTTGATAAGTAAATGATAGCCATTAACTATTTTTGTTTTGTGTTTTTCAGCCAAAAAGATGCTCTGAACTGCATCAGAAATTTGTCTTGATGGCTAAAAGATTAAGGTATCAATTTTCCTTTTCATTTTATTTTATATTGCAAAAAAAAGGCACACAAACCTGAAGTTTAAAACTTCCTCAGTTGGGAGAACAAAAATTCCAAATCCTTAAATTTCATCACAATGTGTAAGCTTAAAGAAATTTTTTTCTTTTCAGGCTCAATTCTTGATAAGTTCTCCAGGGAAAGTGGCTTTAGTTTTATCTCCTTTATCTTGTTCTTGATAATATAACTTTCAGAAAAAATAAATGTTTAACTTTGCTGTTTCTTTTAGTTCCCCTCAATTCAAGGAAGTAGATAGAATTTAAGAGGCTTTGGAAATTATCTTTATGGAGCATGTACGTATAGATGTCTTACAAAATGGCTCTATAAGAACCCCATAAGAGAAGCTGGGTGCTGGTGGCTCATGCCTGTAATCCTAGCTACTCAGGAGGCTGAGATCTGAGGATCACTGTTCAAAGCCAGCCCAGGCAGGAAAGTCTGTGAGACTATCTCCAATAAAAACCATTAGGAAACCGGAAGTGGCGCTGTGACTCAAGCAGTAGAGTGTTTGCCTTGAGCTGAAGAGCTGAGGGATAGCGCCCAAGCCCAGAGTTCAAGCCCCATGACAAACAACAACAAAAAAAGAACCTCTTAAGAGCCAGATCTGAGCATCACAGGTTGAAGACAGTCCAGATAGAAAAGTCTGTGAGACTCTTATCTCCAGTTAAGGATTAAGAAGCCACATTTGGAGCTGTGGCTCAAGTGGTAGAGAGGGGTGGTGCCTAGGCCCTGAGTTCAAGCCCTACTACTGCTACAAAGAAAATAAAAGAACACAGAAGATTTTTTTTAAAGTTTCTGTTATGTTTTACATACAAATTGCAGAAAGTTCAACTAGTATTTACAAGGTTGTGTTTGTTTTGGTGCCAGTCCTGGGACTTGAACTCAGGGCCTGGTCACTGTCCTCCCTGAGCTTCTTTTGCCCAAGGTTAGCACTCTGCCATTTGAGCCCCAGCTTCACTTCCAGCTTTTTTTTTTTTTGTTTTTGTTGGTTGTGAGGCTTGAACTCTGGGCCTGGGCCTTGAGCTCTGGGCCTAGGGGCTGTTGCTCAGCTCTTCAACTCAAGGCTAGCACCCTACCACTTAAGCCACAGCGCCACTTCCGGTTTTCTCTTGGTTTACCGGAGATGAGTTTGATTCCTATCTGGGCTGGCTTTGAATCGCAGTCCTCAGATCTCAGCCTCCTGAGTTGCTAGGATTATAGGCGTGAGTTACCTGCGCCTGGCTTCTGGCTTTTTTTTTTTTTTTTTTTTGGTAGTTTAGTGGAGATAAGTGTCTCTCAGACTTTCCTGCCTAGGCTGGCAATGGACCCTGATTATCAGATCCTAGCCTTTTGAATAGCTAGGATTACAGGTGTGAGCCTTTGGTACCTAGCATTTTGTGTGTGTGTGTGTGTGTATGTGGGTTTTGTTGTTGTTGTTTTGTTGGTCATGGGGCTTGAACTCTGGGCCTGGTCGCTGTCCCTCAGCTCAAGTCAAGTGCTCTGTCACGTAAGTCACATTGCCACTTCCGGTTTTCTGGTGGTTATTTGGGATAAGAATCTCACAGACTTTTCCTTCCCGGGCTGGTTTTGAACTGCGATCCTCTCAGCCTCCTGAGTAGCTCAGATTACAGGCTTGAGCCACCAGCGCCCCGCTTGTTTTTGGTTTTTAATTCCAGCTTTTTGGTGGTTAAATGGAGTTGAGTCTCTCAGAATTGTCTGCTGAGGCTGGCTTTGAATTAGTATCTTCAGATTTCAGTCTCTGAAGTAGCTAGGATTATAGCTGTGAGCCACTGGTGCCCAGCTGTAAATAGGTTTTAAAATTTGAGTTGAATTATTCAACTCCCCTTCTCCACTAGTACAGAATTGGAGTTATTTTTCTTTCTTTTAAAAAAATTTTATTGTTAAGATGTTGTACGGAAGGGTTACAGTTACACCAGTAAGTAAGGCAATAAATGAGTACATTACTTGTCCATCATTGTTACCCCTTCCCTTCCTTGTTGTCCCACTATCCCTTCCCTCCCCCAGCTCCCAACCTATCCCCCCTCTCCTCCTCTCTGCTGGAAGTTGTAAAGTTCATTTCCAATATACTATCCAGTGGGTATCTTTGTTGCAACGGGTCATCCTGTCCTTGTTTCAGTGTTTTGTTATTCCCTTTCCTCTCCCCAGATTAGACATATGTATATACAAGATGCAGGATATTGTAGTTATTTTTCTTTACCTTAAATAAATATTGTAATTTCTTAGTAAATTTTTGATGTTCCCTTGTGGGTAAATAGGCAAAGATTCTAACCCATATATCTGTGCCAGCTGTGGTGGTACAGGGCCATCATCCTCTTGCCTGTAGTTTTGTGGTGATCCAGGTGTTTCTTGGGTACAATGCCTAAAATTAGGATAATGCTCAAATACAGCAGGAGAACCACAAAAAATAGACAGATAGCAAAAAATATTTTTTTAGGAAAAGAAAGCATGCCTCCAGGGATTAGCTGGGGAGTTTTGGTAAGTTTTGGGAGTTTTGCCTCTTTAGAAATTGTTGGGATTTTAATCTAATAGGTTTGGAGAATAGGTGGTACAAAATCAGGAGTTTCCCTTTGAGGCCCTCCCCCAAAGGGCTTGGCCACTGGGCAGAGGCTTCTGGGTGTTGGACCCTAAACCTGAGTATGGGAAAGCACTCTTTGACCTTCCTATTTGACCTTCTTTGTCTTTCCTACTTTAATGAGGTAGGAGGAGTGTTCTCCTTAAGTATGTTGTGTCATTTATTTTCTTCATCCTTGGCCTAGACTTGGGACAGCTGGGCTTTTTTTAGGCACTAATGATGTCTACTTAGTTTCCTATGCCAGTAATCCTAGCACTCTCAAAACTGAGGATTGTAAGTTCAAGCATGCCCTATATAGCAAGTTCCAGGCCATTCAGAGTTATATAGAAAATCTAATCTCAAAAAAACAAGATGGGTGCTGGTGGTTCATGCCTGTAATCCTAGCTACGCAGGAGGCTGGGAGTACAAAGCTCTGGCAGGAAAGTTTATAAGACTCTTATCTCCAATTAACCACCGGAAAACTGGAAGTGTGCTGTGGTTCAAAATGGTAGAGTACTAGCCTGAGCAAAAAGAGCTCAAAGTCAGAGCCCAGACCCTCAGTTCAAGCCCCATGATTGACAAAAACAATTAAACAATGTCAACAAAACCTCTTCCTTTCCTTCCTCCTTTGCCTTCTTCATCTTCACTCTCCCTCCCAAAACTGGGGCTTGAACTCAGGGATTTGAGCTCTTCCTTAACCTTTTCTGTTAAGGCTTGTGCTCTAGCACTTGTACCGCACTGGCTTTTTGATGGTTAATTGGAGATGAGAATCTTGGATTTGTCTGCTGGGGCTGGTTTTAATAGCCAATTTGAATGTCAGCCACCTGAGTTGCTAAGATTATAGACATGAGCCACCAGGGCCCTGTTTGTTTCTTTTCTTTTCTTTTTCTTTTTTTGATCATGAGGCTTGAACTCAGGACCTGGGTGATGTCCCTGATCTTTTTCACTCAAGGCTAACACTGTACAACTTTGACTCACAGCTCCACTTCTGGTTTTTCTGGTGGTTAACTGTAGGTAAGAGTCTCACAGACTTTCCTGCCCCGCCTAGCTTTGAACAGGGATTCTCAGATCTCACTCTCCTAAGTAGTAGGATTACAGGCATAAGCCACCGGTGCCTGATATATATTCTTTTTTTTTTTTTGGTGGTATACT